AGCCGAGGCGACACAATTAATACCATATCAATACAAGATTGGAAATAATTTTATTGTAATAATTAATATCACTGTGTCTCCGTCAGACGTAGAACGGGGTATTTATGACGCCGTGTGATTAAGACAAGATCTTTTGCTGCCGAGGGGTTACAATTTATACCACATTGATACAATATCGGAAATCATTTTGTTGAAACTCGGTCAAACAGGATGTGAGATTTATAACACCGATTTATTGGGATATTTATTTTCAAAAATTAAAAAATTGGCCTTGTTACATTATTCAATAAGCACTATATAAATGCGAATGGTTTCCAATCGTTTTAAATTTACTATTAAACAGTGTGAAACATTTAATAAAAATACCACTAGTTGATCAATCAATACTTCATTCAAATTTCTATTCCAATTTATAACAGCTATTGTAATAAAACTTGCCAATTCCATGCTGGTGAACTTTACTACGTTAATGGTTATGTTCCACATATGAGTTATTATACCAATGAATATAATAACTCAATGCATCAAAATTCATCGCCAACATCACGGACTTTATGCATTTGTGTCAAACTCCGAATTATATCACTTTCATTTCCTATACAATGATTCTCTCATTTTTTTATGAATACTGTACGCTGGTTTTTTAATCTTGAGATGGCGGGCATATTTTTGGTTAATGTTTTTGTTAACGTTTACATATACGGCTTTGGGTTGGTAGATATCCCAAGCTTTGTTCAGAAGGAAAAGCAAATGTCAATAATCAATTGGTAATATAGCAAATTCTATGATCCTACATCCAGTCAGCAGAAACTATAGTAAGTTGAATTACAATAGTTTTCGTCTTGTGGCATAAGATTAAAATATTTAGGTTGTTAACTAAGCAGACTTGTGAAAGTAATGTCATTTAACAGGAAAGAAAATTAATACAAGGACCAAGATAATTCTAACAAATACAAAAAAGCGTATTGATGTCATTAAATTAGAAAATATTTAATTTTCAGTTAACTCATCTTATTTTACTTACTATTAAGGTAAGCACTTTTTTATAACATTAAAAATGTTCATTTATTATGCCACTACTGCCTTTTTGAACTGAATTTTTGTTCAAGGCTCAATTTTAAACTCTTTTGGGTCAAGAAATCTGTGTAATCTTTACGTCTGTTTATGTTGGCAAAGTATCCATTGTACCATACGTCTGCAGCAGTTTTTAACATCAATAATAACATTACAGAAAAATTGCTAGATTATTCGGACATCAATCCTAATTATCTGCCTGCCCACATATCAAACTTTGTTTCATCTAATTTGGCTGATATAGTCAAGTCTCCAAGGGAGGAACACAAAGCTTAGAAACGATTAGATCGCTGTACAAGCTAAAAAGTATTAAACTTTCTTGAGAGACATTTTAAATGCCGAATTTAATACTACATTTTTTAAATCTAACAAGGAATAATGTTGATAGTATCTATAGAAATTTACAGTTTAACCAAACATGAGCTAGATCGCGTCGTTCGCAGGACAAAATTCTGCCGCGCGCAAGTATGGACATAACGGCAGGTACGAAGCACGCAATTACATCCAAACACCGTGTGAACATACCTTTATGTAATTCAAATAAACAAGATTCATAGCCTTCGTTGCTTGCACGATATGTATTGTAACGATACAGTTCAAAAAGATAACCCTTGTAGAACCCAAAAATAGGCTTGTCGTTCGATAATGGAAAAATCGTAGATATTCTGTAGGTATTCGTATGTAAAAAAGTTCTATATATTTGGCTGTTCAGTAATCTCACTGTGAGAGTTATTGTTGGTTATCACATTGATGATGTATATATTTTGATTTTCTACGAATACATTTTTTAGCTATGCTATAAGTACATTGTCGGTATCCTGCGGACCTACTTTCTAGCATTTTTAAAGGAAATTATCGTCTTAAAGCTCGTTAGCAGACGTTTAGGAATTGAGCGATAATTATTAGCACAACTAATGACTTTGTAGATAAATTTTGTTAGAGGAAAAATTCGTTTCGGCTTAATAATGGCGAAATTTTACCCCTCAAACTCAAGAGACCTATGCTTAATTAACCTGAAATATACACTTTTTGATCAATGATAAGACGAGGTCGCTTGCGACCGAGGCGCTACGTTTACCACCATATTGATACAATATTAGTCAACACATTCCAGTCCCTCGGTCACAAGATCTCATTACACACATATTCCTTTCTCTTCTTTATTAAGCCGAGTTCACTTGCGCCCGATGCTCTATTTTGTATTTTGAGTGCAGCCCCGTTTATACCATGTCGGCAAAACGTCAGATAACTCATCTTACCTCAGCTTGACTTTGAATAGAGAGTTTTACCCTGAATTAAGCTCAGGTTACTTGCTACCAAGCAGTGACAAATCACATCGACACAACATTACGGCAACACCGGTGGATCTTTCTTTTTCTGCCTTTATTAAGCCGAGGTTACTTGCGGCCGAGGCGCTACGTTTAATACCGCATTAATATTGGTCAACACATTGCAACCCCTCAGCTTAATGAGGCGATATATTACTTTCTTCGTTTCAATTATGCAGAGACGCTATATTTGATTTGGCAGTGAGCAACCTCGGCTTACTTGAATTCGTGTTGACCGAAAAGCCGTTTCATTACCTTTGAGTGGTGTGTCTTATTCTTAATCAAACTCGGGTTGCTGGCGGCCGAAGAGCTACAATTTATACCACATCGATGTACCTATGTCTTAAAAGATTGATGATATACCTATATGAATGGTGCTTCTGCTGAAACACATTACTGAAAGATTTTCTTTCGGATAGATTAAAGATTATTATTATCCTAGTATCATAAATTCCAGAATAATGAACAGCTTCAAATTCAACCTGTATATGACTCAACGACATCCTTTATTAATCGGGTTAAAATCATCGCAGATATACTCCATTTTCCAAAAGTAATACTACTTTACAATGGTATGATAATAGTGATAATAATTTTAAGTAAGTAAACATTATGATTCAGTTTTTATATTTATAAAAGCTTTTTTTGAACAAGCAACCATAGGACTTACACGGATAAAGCGGGGTAAGCATCATGAGGATGTTCTTGTATATGTGGTTTCGTATACAGAGGGCCTCGTAGCCGTAATAACTTACGGGGAATGTGCATTAGGTGCGCTGCAATGCGCACCATCTTTCGGACGAATTAATAACGCAGCGAGCGAGCTCACGGCCACCTGGGATGGTGCCGAGAATTTAAGATGTTGGCCCCACGAAGACTGTATCGCGAACGAAAAAACACCGCAGCCGTCGGTGATTCACGTTTATTTTTATGTTGCCTTCGTTGTAGGAAAAACATTTTCTACGAACTGTCTCGTTTAGAAACGTAAACCCACGCGGGCGTTTCATAATTACATAGACGTTTTAATTTAACGTAATTTTAGTAAATTTATAGTCGAAATTTCTTTGTTGAATAAATAAATACGGTGATGATAACGGAGAGATTATAGTAATAAGAAAAGTCTTCACAATACATCTAATAATTCTTCATTATACTTTTATTTACGAAAAACACTAGACGCACTCTTTCGGGTCCGTTGGGAAGGAGACTTTCACGTAAGTCAACCGGCGAACAAAAGGGCTCCTTCTAGTCGCGTCGCTATTTTTCAGTAGCGGGCCCGTGTTTTTCAGCAACAGCAAAAAGACAACCGAGCATCGCTAACAAAGGCGCATCGGTGGTAAACGCCGGCGTTACCATTGTTACCAACGTATTTTATACCGCGCCGTTTTTTTCATCTCTGTTTACCGTCCGAAATAAACCCCGTTAGGAAAAAAAACGTTGGTGAGGGGAGAACACCAACCGATTTTCGCGTTACGCCCGGAAGCGCTGCAACTGACACGCAATATTACAAAGCCGGGTTGAAACAAAAGACGCAAAAGAGAAAAAAAACAAATGAAAAAAGGCGATGCGTCGTTATTTATGTTGATTATCGGCCGCGGTGCGCCGCGTCGCTATGTGAAAACGAAAAAAAAGGGACTCTAAGGGAAAAAATAACAGGTGCGTATATCATCCGGCCCCTTTATATCCCGAGAAGGGGAAAATATGCAGACTCTTGAGTTTCTCTTTTATCCAGAATATTTCTTTGCTCTCAGAAAGATATATCAGGCAATTCACTTTCATTCCATGCGAAGAGAACCGTTTTTTGTATTCGTTTAAGCAGAAGGTCGAGAAGGCAAAGAAACGGAATTCCTGAACACAATAACTTTATATTACTATAAACACTCAAATGGTAACGTAAACGTTGCCGTTTTTTTTTTCAGACAATGCCCATTCACATTATAAGAAAATTGCTTATAGTGGGCGGTAAAGTAGGTATTTTAAGCAATTATTTCCGCCAGCTCGAATCCTGTTTACATTACGTCGACGTTCATTGTAAAACAAACCTGAGATCCGCGCAAACTTTATTACAAATTTGAGATGGGCGTGTAACTTTGCCATAGGAATTTCCCTTCTGAAAGGTTCGACCTCTTTGATCTACGCGGAAAATTACGGCCACTCGGTTTATGGCGCCGCCGTCTCTGAAGTTATTCAAGATTAAGGTGGATAACGCGTCTTCCATTCCCGGTAGTACGCCAACGTTTCTATAGAAGTTGCGGTACCACATCCATTTAAATATATCGAATCGTTTTGAAGTATAAGGATTGATGTAGTATGTCATGTAAAAACTGAAATATTTTTTTATTAAAATCGCGTTTGATTATTTCATGCGTTTAATTAATTCGCGAACTATTCTCTGCTCTCATTGTCAATTTTAAATTCAATTGAACTGTGGGCATGTCCTCTAGTTTAATTCTACGCAAACGGATACAAATCACGTATTCCAATTCCCAATATTTTGTTTGTTTACAGTGTGGAAATTACACAAATACTGATTAACGTGATACTTTTTTGTGGGACGCTTTTGATTTAAAATAAAAAATATGAAAAATATTTACTTACCTAAAATTTGACTAAGTACTGTCCTGCCGTCTTCTCCCAGACATGCGCTTCTGGCATCGAATGGGTTTGTGAATTGGACGAAAGCGTACCCTTTGTGCATGGAGATCCCTGCAAACAAAGAAGCTCCATTTCAGGTCCATTAAAATCGCTTCGATATTTTTCACAGTTTACGAGCCTGTCGTGTCCGTAAAGAAGAGGAAACGGCCGTCCCTCGGCGTATATTAAGAGGGGACCAGGCTTAAGTGGCGTATAATTAATCGCTTGAGGGAGGCAATATGAAAATTTATGCGCGTTTTTCACAGGAGGTGTCGTGACGGGGACTTATTAACATATCCATCGTTTAAGCGTGTCGTGTCGTGCTTTCCGCTTCGTTTTTATATTTTGTTATATATTGCTAATACATACTCACGCGCGAGACACATTTTAATTAAACTTGTTTTTTGCTTACTAGGTTTGCTTTACAATTTAAATTTATTAATGTCTCCTTATCATTGTTATTATTAAATAGGTAGGTAGAGGTAATATGATTTATGTGTGTGTGGTCGTAAAGTAGATTGAAAATATGAGGGATCAATAAAAATACAATTTGCCATTTTGCGGACGTTGTTTAGATCGCAACTCGTGAAGAACCGCCGATAAGTTATTTGGAGGGTAAAAGTGATCTTAGTTGAAATCAAGCGGAAGCGAATAGACCGAGAACAAAGCGAAAACGCACTCTAAAAAGGGGTCAGGGCGATAACTGGCTTGCTATGAAATCCCATTCGCTGGCCGAACCTCGACGCCAATGAAGTTAGTGATGAGAAATGGATGAAGTCTCCACTCAATTTATTGGCCAGCCATCCAGAATCTAATCAAGGGAATTGGGTTACTGATATGAAATTACTAGGACCCTGTAGCTCTTTGGTCCCGGGTATAATACGGCCCTGATAAAACACCACGCAGGAGATTATCAACAACTCCGTGGTTGCGCACCAAACGCGATTTCTCCCGAGAAAACTCCTATTTTCCTTTTTGTTTGCAGAGACGTGTATTTGGGTCAAATTGGCGAAACCCAGCCAGCTTTTTCCTAATGGAAAACTTAGTTTCTATCTTTTCAGCTTTGCTCGAAAGTAATACCCCGTTGAAATTCTTTCTCTGTTGTCATTATCATTTTAATACATCGCCGAAAAGAATCCCATTTCTACTTAAGTCGGCCGTCGACCGAGGATCGTTCGGGCTCGGGCGATAAAATTGCGTTATCACCTTTCCATTCATTTCCCTTCTAGGTATCTTTATTGGAAACGGCGGCTCGGTCGGGAATGCGAATTCGATTTGGCACCCGCAGAGGGCCCAAGCTCGTCGCACTCATTTGCGATAAAGTGTTTCGCGAGACGAGCAGTTACGCCAGGAGATTCGTCATCTAGCCTTAAATAGAATATTAAGTGAAGATGGGCTACGAACGAGCAACGCTATCACTTTAAATTGAAATCATCCCTAATACGAAACTGAGAATACAACCTTTTATTTACAATCCATTAAATACCCTAATTAATTCAAAATGGTAGGGTACTATTACAGTAAAACCTTGATATAACGCATTAACCCAGATACTCTTACTGTACGTTTAAACATACAGTTCAGAAAATTGCAATTTTTTTGTTTTTATGAAATTCTAAAGATGGAGCTTAGTGGTCTAAAACTTCATAAATTACATTTCCTTCCAAATTGTCAGTCATAGAAAAGTTGTGTTTTGCAAAAGCGAATTTCTGTAGAGTGAAAAATGGATTATTACAAGTAAGTAATACAAGTCGTTTTAGCTTTAATTTATTGAGCTTTTATGTATAATACTCCTATATGATATTACATCTTTCTTTGTTTTTCGTATTTTAGTTGTTGGAAAAGACCGCTGAAACTGCATCAGCTAATGGCTGAAATAGAGAATTTAGGAGATATTTCGCAAGTTCCCGATATAATTGCCATTCTTCCACCAATAACTAATGACTATAATATGGACCTAATATGGATAATAAGACTCTGGGGACGAAAATGTTGTAGATGTAAAAAATGTTCCTGGTAGTCAGTTGATGGCTGAAGCAGAAGTGATCTTTGCTTATTTAGACGAAGGCATATGAAATAAATCTACTATAACATAAGAAAGTAAAAATGAGAAAATGATAGCGAAGACGATTTACCTCTTTATTACCTTCAAAAGTGTGTGTGAAAACAAAAAAAAAACTCAAACCAAACTTTTCTTGAATTAAACAAAATATTTCTTCAAAACTGATGAACGGGAAGTCATTAGTGGGCCAAAAATCTTTTAACACTTCTCAAAAACTAAAAGTTTTTCAAAACTGTTTTTCGTATTAAAAAGAGGATACTTTAATTAATAATTGATGATATTTCCATAAGGATCTTTCAAGAAATTAATATTATAGCGAATTTTGAAAATTATCGATGAAAATGACAACATCGAAAATTTTATCAAAACTTCAAATATTGTTTTCTCAAAAACTAAAAGTTATTATTCAAAACGGGCTAGTTCATTGGAAAGAGGACACTTTTATTAACACTTTGGGAAATTTTCATACTCATATTCCAAGAAGTGGATATTATACGAATTTTTAAAACTTAATCGGCGAAAATTACAAAATTCGAAAAAATTGTCGGTCATTTCAAAAATTTATAAAGTTTTTCAAAACTGTTTTTCGTATTAAAAAGAGGATACTTTAATTAATAATTGATGATATTTCCCCAAGGATTCTTCACGAAATTAATTTTATAGCGAATTTTGAAAATTGTCGATGAAAACTGCAACATCGAAAATGTTATCAAAACTTCAAATATTATTTTCTCAAAAACTAGAAGCTATTTTTCAAAACGGGATGGTTCATTGCTAAGAGGATACTTTTATTAACACTTTGGAAAATGTTCATACTCATATTCCAAGAACTGGATTTTATACGACTTTATAAAACTTAATCAGCGAAAATTGAAAAATTCGAAAATTGTGTCGATGATTTCAAAAAATTATTTCTCAAGAACTGAAAGTAGTTTTTCAAAACGGCTTTTTGCGTTAAGAAGAGGATACTTTAATTGATAATCGAAAGTGATAATAGCGACAGTTCTGTTAGTAATGAATGTATTGGGATTGTTACAATGAGGTTACTAAAGACAAACCTGATATATATAAAGTTGTATTCCATGAAAAAAGTCCTACTGGGGTTGAACTTGATTATTATCTGCAGTGTCTAACACCTAAAAGAGATACTAATTCCTGTGAATGGTGGAGTACTAAGTAGTAGGTTTTAATATCCGGCCAAAGCCGAATATTTGGTAACTATCCGGTATCCGGCCGAATTTTAAAAAATGGCCGGGTAGTTGCCGGATATCCGTTCCACCACTAGTCATTACCATGATAACAGTTAACATCAATTAAGTAATTTATATGCATCGCAACATAATCGTTAGGCCGATATATGTGCAAACGAGATAAGATGTTTTTTAGCAAATTTATGTATTGGGAAACTAGTGATGATGCTGGAAATAAACTTGTAATGGAAGCTATATCCAGAGATCGGTTTAATTTTGAAATCAAATGCAAAACATCTACATCAACGACAATACTAACTTGACCAAAAATGATAAATTTTCTGAAATTCGTCCATTATTTGACATTCTCAATAGAGTTTGATTTGTTTGCACCTTTTGAAGAGTGTCACAGTGTTGACGAATCGATTACGTCGTGGGTCAAAGCAATTTATTCGTTTCAAACCATTCGATAGGGATATAAAATATGGACAGGAACAACGAAACGCGGTTACGTTGAATGATTTGAACCGTACCAAGGTTCAAGCGTTCAGGGTCCAGCAAGTGCTGCTCTTCGATTTGTTGATGTACTGCCTCTTTTCCCTCACTAATTCAGCTAACAAATAGGGGTTTGAGATGTACAGGAACTGTTCGGGAAAATATGATTTTAGGATATCCTCTAAAACATTCTAAACTTTTCAAAAAATATTTTTTTAATTTAAAAAAAAAATACAAGAGGATTGTTTAGAAGAAAACGCAAACATTTTGTTTTGCAAATGGAATTACAATAACGTTGTTACAATTGCATCAAAAGCTTTATCCCCATTACCAACAATTCAGGTTAAAAATTTTTTCACAAAAAGAAAAGAAAAATGTTTATATATGATATTTAATAAAAAAATACAACGAGAACATGACCGGCATCGATCGTGGGGATCAATATATTAGTTTATACCTCGGTATATTAGTTTAGTTTATACTCAGGTCAATTAGAGGGAAGAAGTGGTACTTTTCTCTATTTTCCCACTGTATTGATATGGCAGAGCAAAACGCTTGGCAACTCCACAAATCTTACGGAAGGAAAATGGACCACCTACAATTCAGGAGATGTATAGCTTCGGGATTCTTAGAAATGTTCAAAAGGACATCAAAACGAGGACCTTCAAAAAAAGTAAATGCCTCCACAGTGAGTTTAGATACGATAAACTAGAGCACCTAATTGTTTATCAGACAAGATATGAACAGTGTCACAACCAAGCAACTTTTAAATGCCTAAAGTGTCAAAACATCATGTAGTGATATAGCACTACATCCTATGTAGTACATCCCATCTATCATGTTTTTTAAGTTATCACACTAAAGAATGTTTGTAGTTCTAGGTCTAGTGTTAGTTCTACTTTTCATCCAATAAAAATATACAGCAATCTACCTCAAATATACCCGAAAAAGCACGAAAAAGTTAGTTCTAGTTTTAGTTCAATAAAAATATGTAATATAGTGATATCTAGTGCTAACTAGCTCTACAATTTGAATCATTCGGGTTTTGTCATGCGTCTCTTAAGACGGCTAAACGCGAATATTTCTAGTTCTAGGTCTAGTGTTAATTCTAATTTTAGTTGTTATTCAGCGTTACGCAACAAAGTCTAGTTTTAGTTGTTATTCAGCTGAAATTCAACTGAAACTAGAACTAACACTAGACCTAGAATTAGAAATATTCGGGTTTAGCCATGAGTCTTCAGACAATCTAGCACTACTAGAGCAACTTGAGGAATAACCCCTGTTGTTTTTTTTACTGTATTTACATTGATTACCATAGGTATTCATTAATGACGAAAGGAGTTTTAAATTATTGGTTAGTATGTACTAAGTCGATAAACCAATAATTACCAACGATATTTTATGTAACTTAAGCGTAGTGTAAAGGATAAAATAAGGTGGTACATCCTTTTTACACGTCACCCAGTGTCCTATTTTACAATATAAATTAACCTGTTAATGAAGAACATGTCGAGAGCGATGATTGATGGCGGCGCACCCTACGAAAACACAGATTTTAACACCGTGGTCGACCAATATAAACTGCTACACGCGAAAAACATGGAAAAACAAACCTAGAGCCTAATTAAACTGCTCAATCTTCGTGTTCGTTTTGGTTCTACATCGCCGGCGTTTCGTAGAATGCAACCCGGCAATATAGCTTTACTAGTTATCTCCGATCTACCCAGTTTTGTACGAATTGCAATAAACGAAATTTATACCAGAAACGTTACTCTTGACAAAATAAGAGAACTAACGGTAAATAAAACGCCTAATTCGGAGTTATAACGATATTTAAAGGATAACGATGTTGACTGTAACAAAAGCATTTTCACCTGGAACGCATGCATTCTCATTATGGTTGCTGTAAAGAGTGAAACGAACGCAGTTCGACCTAAAAACCTTAAGCCGTTCCTGCAGGGCAAACTCTACGACTCCAAAGCACAAAGCTTGCGCTGAAACGCATCCGGGGCGACAAAAACCTTATTCAAATACGTCACCAAGAACTTCAGTTTGTGTGAGATATTTTCGCCCTTGCGGGCTCGGTTGACATCAACACGCACAACGACCCAGTAAATCCTATGGACGACAAGGGATCATCCACCCTTTGAATGTCTGCGAACCATTAAGCTCTAATATTAATGAACTTTTAAAAATTTATTAAATATAAATTTAATTTTTAAATGGAATAACTCAAAGTTATTAACATTGTATGTAGATGTCCGAGTTGCAATGGTGTACGTTGATTTAATCATGCTAATAACCACGCCGGCAATATATCCTGACATTTCTCAAGGGGTGATGGGTCAGGGTTATTGTAGTTGCGCGGAACAGTGCGGGATTCGATTGAGTGGTAAGCGGCCGTAAATTATGGGGTAAGTAATGCATTTACTGCGATATTAATGAAGATGCGATCCAACAAAGACTTATCGTCTTCGGATATCTACTCACTTTATTGAAGATTTCAAGAGTGAATTTTGTATTACGTATAATTAAGAGTATGTATCGATACGTCCCAAGGGTTTCTTAATAGTACGGGAGATACAGTAAGGTTAAAGGGTTGGGCGTTCCTGGTTAGGATTACTCTGTAGCAGAAAGCTTTCAGGGGAAGGATCCTGTAGATTACCGTTTACTTACCAGCTAATCGGCCGTAGCGTTGAAACATCCGCTCCACGTCCGTCTTAGAACACTGGAATGTATTGAGGTTTCCGACAAACACTCTCGAGTTGACCGCTTGAGGGTCCTGAGAGTTCGTCTGGTTACCTACTTTGCTCATCTTCATTTTAGCAACTTGTCTATAAATAAAGAAAAAAACATCATTTTTTAATAATTCTTTAATAAATATTTTATGGTAATCTTAAAATTCGCGATTAGTACGGACGCAATTTAACAGGCCGCTTCGTTTAATTTCACACTTAGTTAAAACTTATCCTTCCCGAATTAATTCCGGCTCGACCGACGTCTAATTTTGCGCGTGTCTCGACGACGACGACGACGACGACGACGTCCGGACCACGGCCTTAATATTTAATGGACGTCTCGAAACAATTTCTGCCGCGGTTTTTCTTAGCGGAACTCGTCGCGACTCCGATCCTAAACTAGATTTCCGATGGCTCATTTGCATCGAAATTGGAAGGGTTGTCCGTGTTTAATGCGGCGTCGCCCCAGTTATGAATAGGGGCCTCATCGTCGTTCTCGCAACGAATTCGAATTGCGTTTTGAGTGTTTTCGAAAAGTTCTTGCTCGGGTCCCTCGTTTCATCCGAATAGTTTTATAATTAGAAATTTTCAACTTATTATTAATTTAGACAAAAATGTATAATAATTAAACTGATTTAATATTAAACGAACGCTGGGCAAGACGCTGTACAGAACACTTAGGGGCCGTAATAAGATCGTTACATTTGAATACGTCGTTGAAGTACGAAAAGCGTTCGGAACTTCGCTAAACTACCGTTATTTGCTACTACAGGTGCTTCTCGTGGGGATTTTGGAGCGCAAACGAGCTGTTTTGAGGTGTAAAACATAACAGTATTCGCTGGTTCGGTTCGTTATTAAGTGACCGGTTAATAAAACATGTGTTTGTGATAATCATGTGACTATCTAAGCATTAGTTCAATATCGTTGAACAAAACAGTGGTTATTATGCTGTATTAATCGGGAGGATTATTTAGGGGATAAACATTGTAATTCATTGAAGTGAATTTCAATTAGGAAATTAAATTGATGTTGAATCGCGATAGTTCTCTAATGACGCGTAAATTAAAGTTTCCTTGGTCGATCGTGTACACACAGGTTATCGTCTGGGGTAGTATATTACTTGGTCACGGGGTAGCTCCCATTAATTTCGGACAGGTTTTGCCATACAGATTATTGAAACTTCATTAACGTTCCGAACGGCGAAGGTATAGCAGTAGATTACCAGCCCTTTCTCAAGAGCTGGTATCGATTTCAGACTACGGACTCGACTATTTTATAGAGTCAAAGTTTTAGCGACAGATTTCTTCTTTGAAAAGGTTTCTCGTCAAACGCGGTATTGCAATAACGGGTGGAAATATTGAAACGGAAAAAATGCACCGGCCCGGGCGGATATGCAATTTCGACCGCCGCAGTGCCCAAAATAAAATAGAACGTCGGCCGGGAAATACTTGAAGCGTTTAGGGGCGCCAGGACCGGGCGTTAAATTAAAAATGCCGCCGCCTCCGCCTAGGGTAGTTTTAATTTCGGGGGATCCTCTATCAGTCAGAATGCGCACGTTTCCTGTTTCGTCGCGACGGCAATATTGTTTTCGTGCATTTTTAATTCTGATTTTCAGTACGTTTCATTATCTACACTTGCTGCAATGCTGCTGTGTAGTGTACGCATTGCAGATATTTAATTTATTTCTTTAAATTAACTTAAAATAATAAAAGGCAAAATTTTAAAACGACCGTACTCGACTCAGTAGACCCAATAAGTTCTTCATTATTTGCTATAAATGTTTAGACACATGTTTAGAGTCAAATTTGACCCAATAATACTCATTAAAAATCTCTCATTCTTTAACTGATACTGAATTGAAAGATATTATTAACAATTTATTCGATATTAAGGGACCTGAAAATAATTCAACACAAGAAAGTGATAGTGACCAAGGTGATACTGAATTTTAAAGTGTGCGTTCTGAGTCAAATACTAAGTCGACCTGCATGACAATAATAGTATTAGTAGTAAAGTTCCTCGTTCAAGTACGAGGAAGTTCGAAAATTAAAGCTGAAAACATAACATTCTGTAACTGAAAAAAATCTGCTGCATCAAACTGTATTGTATTGTTTTCACTTCTTTCTAATAATAATAATGCCTTTTATTGAATTAAATAATATATAAAATATGTAAGGCGGGGTCCAGATGGCACATCAAAAATGTGCCCCTGCTCATACCCGACCGACTAACGAAAATTTTATTACAAAGCAAAACGCAAGATAGCGAGCAATGTCACGGAAAGCGAGAATAAAAGATAAAATAAGGTAAAAGATGGCACACTATATACAAAAAAAAATAAATTAAATAAAAAAATCAAAATAAAAAAAAGAACTATTGATCTCTCATTAGTAAGTTGACAACGGTAGACTTAAAGGCTCTGAGAGATAACATCTCTAGGTCATCAGGCAAATCGTTGTAAAGTACACAAATCTGGTACGTGAATGATCTTCTAAACAGTGACAATTTATACTTAGGAGGAGAAATTCTACCTCTAAACCTCGTATTCAGATTGTGCATATCACAACGATATCTTATTTTGTTTGTCAGGTAGGAAGACTTCCCACTGCCCAACATCTTATAATAGAGACTGAGCGTTAGCAAGTTACGTCTATTGAATATATTTAACCAACCAATGTTACGAAGTTTATGCGAAATACGAGCAAACTTTCGAATACCGTATACAAACCTCAAACAAACATTCTGCACTCTTTGAATGCGTAGAGTATCAATACTATCAATTGAGGCATGGTAAAGCGGAGCGCGATAGGCAAAATGAGATAGATCCAGTGAATCACACAGCTGCTTCTTCAGTTTCTTCTTGCTTGAAACTTAGAAGGATTCAAGTGGAGATTGTACATTAGTGTTAATTGATTTACTCTTCCCAGATCATTCCACATCTGCCTTGAGCTATTATGACCAATGTCAACCATCAAATTACTAAAGTAAGCTTTTTTCTCGGACCTTATCGTATTAGTAGTTAAATTTCTTAGTCGTTTTTAATTTTGCCAATCTACATATATCACGTTTATAAAGCCTAAATTTAGTTTTTGCGTTATCCCGAAGCCTCATTATCAACTTTACATTTGCAGTGATCCAAAAAATGTAGGGCTTAGTAAATTTTCTCATAATTAAAGGAGCATGTACATTTAGCAAGTTTAAAGTGGAATGTGTAATGAAAGAAACCTTATCATCAATGTTAGTTTCAATGGTAGCTTCTTTCAGTAGATCCATCATGGCCTCTCCATCCGCTTCGTCTGTTTTATTGTCTTCCCTCAATTCATTTAGAATCTTAAGATATTCTACATAACCAAAATCCTTATTTCTTCTTAAACCATAATTCCTTTGGTACTTTGTTTTTATGTGCAGTTGTTTGACTTCTATTTATTAGATAAACAGCTGCTATAACTACTTCTTTCCATAAATATTTTTGGAATGTTTTGTCTTTAATAACATACATCTTGCTTTCTTTACTCGTTCCTATTTATTTGTTGGATTCATTCGTTCACCTCCGCCGTTTTGTTGTGGTGAATACTTACTATGAGTTCTAATTAGATTCCGTATTCAAAAAAATACAGACCTTTTCTTTCACTTGCATCTAAACCCGGCAAATTTCGATTCCAATCTTCGGCCTTAGCTGCTGTAATTCTTATTGTCTATTAAAATTGGATGTTTTGCATCATTTTCGTTTCTCGCCTTTTCAATTGAAACATAATTCCAAATGTGTAAAGAACGTTGAATAGCTTTACCATTATAAAATTTGTCTTGTAGTGTTATAAAACATATTTGTTGTGTTTCCGGATTACTTACTTTTGTTGCTTTTTTCTTACTTTCTTTATCCTTTAATCTTGCTTTGACAAGCTTTATGTTAGGTGTGCAGAGAAGACTGCTTCTAATGGTGTCATTATTATCTTGTACCTGAAGGCATCGTTAATAGCAAGTGACACACAATACCCATCTCCAAGGTTGCACACGTAGACTTTAATTATCATACCTACCATTTGACCTAATTCGGTCAAATGATGTTTCAATTTCTTGTTTTTTACGTTTAACTTCATCGTAAAATTTGTTACGGAGTAATAATAAGTAAATAATCCTGTAGCGATGTTATCTGGTTTTTCAGTACTCAGCCTTTGTGATATCTCCTTTTAGTACCTTCTTAATGTTCAGTATATTATTTGTTCGTATATTGATTTGGGACATATTTTGGAATCATTTTGGGTCTATCACTAAGGTAGTAATTGAAGATTATATTGTAGAGGCGCGCTTGTATGATACGGACACCGAGCAGGAAGCAGATAGTGATACCGTGAATGTGCCTCCGGTGACAAAACGTCTACAAAAGTGAGTTGTGAGTCAGAATTAAGATTTTTTGGTTAACTAATCAACTAAATAATAATTTGAGAAAATTCCTTTCTAAATATTTTGATGGTATTATTCTTCAAAACATTTTCCAACGCATAGATCTGGTTTATTAGGGCATTTTTTACAATAATAAGCTGAATCCTTCCTTCAGAAAGCATTTCTTCGATAACCGCCACACGAAAATTGTGGTATGATATGCGTTTCTTGGAATGTTTATTGTATAACAAAAACGAATTATATAATAACAGATAGATTATGTGTATCTCCAGTTTCTTATGTACCAGCGAAGAGTTTTTCGCACAACTCATTTTATCTATACGGTCGATCCCACTCATGTACTTATTGTATTCCATAATTGAAATAGATTTGATTTTTGGTTCCCCTCTTTTATTTACAGTTTCGACCGTATCGTTGGAAAACTGTGAAGATATGTATCCCTCTTATCCCTCCATATTCCAAACGTAACACCATCTCTATAAGCTGCCTTAGTCTCTCCTTTGCGAAGTTTTCTTTCGGAAATTTCTACGGTTTGAACGTAATACTCCTGTGCAGTGTGTATATTGTGTCAATAAATCTTTTGCTAAGCTATAACTATTATAAAAGTTGGCAATTGTAGCCTCCAGGTTCATCATGGTGAGTATTAATAGGATAAAAAAGAATAAGTCCACGATGATTATTTATTATTTTTTTCTAATTTCGGTACAACAATGTTTCGCTTTTTCTAAAAGCGTCTTCAGGTACGACTAGAATAATATGGAACATAATTATTACTAGTTGACGGGTTTTTTTGTTGGTGATATAAAATTAAAAATTATAAAAAGTTCTTACCGTCAAAAACTAAGAATGATGAACACGTGAAAAAATGATCATGTGGAAAAATTTCTCTTACAAAAAACTACGACGGACCGATGATTAAAAATATAATTTTGGATTAAAGAAAAAAGTGAAATTTTTGAAAACGGCGTGGGTTTACCATGTCAGGTTAAAAACTCCAACGTCGGGTGATAGGTTAATAAAATTTTGAAATGCTGAAGGCAGGCGTAAAAGAAAATGTGAAAGCTGAAGGCGTGTTATAAAAAGGGAATTTATCGTTAAAAATCTAAAAGAAAAGGGTATTAATATTATTGAAAGCGTATTATAACGTTAAGTGTTACCGAAAAACTTGAGTCGTGTGCACATATCGACTGGTTACAACGGACTGAGGTCAGTTAAAAGAGGAAGTAAGTAATATGACAACTTAAGAAAATGAAAGATTGGTATCAGGATGTGACAAACCAAATGCAAGAGCGGTGAGTTTGAAATTATATGAAAGGTGTAAAATATCTATTATAATTGTTAAAATCAGTAATTTCATTCAAAATATGTTCAGGGTTTTTAATGTGGTATGATTTTATATAGTATTCCTCAAATAGGTCCATTTTTCTGGATTTATTAAGATGTTTTAGAAGTTTAATTTTGGATATATCAGTTTTATGTTTATGTTCTTTTAAATGTTTATAAAAAGTAGAATTTTCTTTATTTAAGTGTTCCTTGAATCTAGTACTGATATTCCTTCCAGTTTGTCCTATATAAAAGGAATCGCAATCGTTACAATTAAGTTTGTAAATCCCACTTTTAAGTTTATCATCGAATATGTGTTTATTATTAGTTAATAATTGGCCCAATTTAGCATTAGCACGGTATACCGGTGTGACATTAAACTTATTGAAAATATCGGAAAATTGTTTTTGGATTAAAGGGTGGAAAGGTATAGAGACAAAAACGCCGGGGTTGGAAAAGTGGGGATATATGAGATTATTAATTCTAGCTTGATGAATGCGGAAAAATAAATTTTGAAGCTCCTGAAGGGAGTAACCATTATCGAAGCCCAGCTTGATGATAGTATTAATTTCCTTGTTAAAACTAGCACGTGAAAGTGGGTAATTTAAAATTCTATCAAAAAAGAAACGAAAAGATGCGTATTTATGTTGAAATGATGTAAATGAATTTTTTGGGATTAAGGTATTGGTAGTAGTAGGTTTTCTATATATGTCGAATAGGATTCTGTTCTCGGAGGTGCACTTTGTTATAGTAAGATCAAGGAAGCAAATAGATGAACATTTTTCTACTTCGTAAGTAAATTGAAGATTATTAATATTGTTAAAAATGTTATTAAGAGCTATAATGTGGGATCTTTTACCGTTGTATATCAGAAGGATATCATCAACGTATCTTTTATAAAAGATAATATTTTTAGTAAAAAATTCATATTTCTCCGAGAACAGAATCCCTTCGAAGTGGTTAACAAAAATATCAGCAATTATCCCTGAAATGGGTGAACCCATGGGGAGGCCATCCTTCATCTGGTAAAATTTGTTGTCAAAAATGAAAAAATTCTGATTGCATACCAATTCCAACAAGGAAATGAAGTTATATATGTCTTGGTATTGAACACTGTCATATTTGCATATGTTATTACAAAGGTGGGCTTCGATTATTTTTAATGAATCTTTTATAGGAATATTAGAATATAAGTTTTTAATATCGAAAGAGATGAGGATGGAGTTATTATTGATTTGGATATCTTGAAGAGAATCAATTAATTGTTTTGAGTTTTTAACACTATATTTTATATCACTATTAAAATTGTTGTATAGGAATTTTTGAAACTGTTTGGCAATCTTCTCTGAAGGAGTATTAACATTACTAATAATAGGTCGAATGCTATGGTCTTCTTTGTGAAGTTTAATTAAACATTTGAGAACAGGTGGGAGGGGATTCATTTGAATGAGTGAGTAAGTATTAAAGTTAAATTTAACAAGAGTATCTTTGCTAGAATTAATAAGTTTTTTGAGAAGGTTATTGTAAGATTGAGTTGGGTTTTTGTTAATTAATGTAATATTATTTTGTTGAAAGAAAGAGAATGTTTTTTGAAGATAAGAATTTTTATTAAGGATAACTAGACCGGCGTTTTTGTCTCCAAGTGTCACCACAAGATCATTATCAATGATCTTCTGTTTTATGTTAGCGATCTCCCTGCGGTCACAGCCCGTGTGAGTGTTGTTGTCTTTAATGATGTTTTTAATATTGTTAAGCATAAATTTGTGAATTTCAGGTTTGAATTGGAGCTGTGACTCCAGGGAGATCGCGAGTTCAATTTTATTAAGTTTTTGTGGGAAGGAAAATTTGTGGCCATAATTAAAGATTTTATATTCGGTTTTAGAAAAAATTGAGTCTGAAAGATTGGTCGCCCTAGGTGCAAAGGAGATGTTATTGAAGTTATTTAATGGTACCTTAAAAGAGGAGCATTCTACATCTATTTTTTTGATATGAAAAAATGAATTGTTATGGTGGTTAAAGTTATTAGCATTTGCATTTGGCTTATCACTTACATTATTGATATTATTATAATTAGAGGTTCTTCGGTCCATTGGTGTTTTATAACACGCCTTCAGCTTTTACAGTCTCTTTTACACCTGCCTTCAGCATTTCAAAACTTTATTAACCTATCACCCGACGTTGGAGTTTTTAACCTGACATGGTAAACCCACGCCGTTTTCAAAAATTTCACTTTTTATTTAATCCAAAATTATATTTTTAATCATCGGTCCGTCGTAGTTTTTTGTAAGAGAAATTTTTCCACATGATCATTTTTTCACGTGTTCATCATTCTTAGTTTTTGACGGTAAGAACTTTTTATAATTTTTAATTTTATATCACCAACAAAAAAACCCGTCAACTAGTAATAATTATGTTCCATATTATTCTAGTCGTACCTGAAGACGCTTTTAGAAAAAGCGAAACATTGTTGTACCGAAATTAGAAAAAAAATAATAAATAATCATCGTGGACTTATTCTTTTTTATCCTATTAATTATAAAAGTTGTCCATAAACGAAAAATGGCCAACATTTAGGTAATCACCCATTGTAATGAACTTCATTACAACATTTCCCGTGTGTTCAAATTCACCTGTTTCATCTGTTTGTCCTGTATAAACCTGTAAATTGTTTTGAATATATTGACGAAAAACGAGTCTTTCTCTCCAAAGAAGCACTGATTCATTTAGTGATCGATTGATATTGAGGTAATAAATTGATGACATTTTTTGTTTGAAATAATTGAGTATGTGGTGAAATTTATAATAGCCGATCTGTTGACAACATGATGCTATTTTCCAGAAATATGGCATATGTGTGAGTCTTATTGCAGCGTTGTATAGGAATATTATCATCACGATGAGAAACACGCCTTTGCGAGGGAGTTGTGTGAATACTTCGCCTGTGATGAGATCATATCCAGAATTATTCTTACGATTCAAGTTGGTGTGAATTCTGCTTGCGATACTATCGATTGTATTGATGCTCGATGAAAGATATGCAAAATGCTTCTCCTTTTTAAATATATTGTCTGATCCAACCCATCATAATTTTTAATGGGCGGTATGTGTGCTATTGTGCTTTTAGTTTTACGTGTCGTTTTCCATGAGTAAAGAGTGCCATGTTAGCTGTTAATTTGCTAAGATAAATTGCAATTGATTCATCCTTCAATTTTAGGATATCTCGATTAAGGTGTTTTTGTCTGCTTGGTCAGGCGACTATTGCTATCGTCCTCTCAAGCAACCTTTTTCCTTGACGAAGTCTTTTACTTCGATTGGATTTTTTACAGCACCCAAGTATTATTCCATGCCGCTACCTGGAAGATCGTGGTGAATCGCTCCACTTCTAAATCGAGATGGTGTTTAGTTTATAGTGGAAAGTGCAAATTAATCTCACGATCTAATTCGGTTTAGAAACTTTCTCAGTTTGTAGATCAGTTCACTAATACGAGCTTTACTTCCCTGCGAATCACACTTTCGCTTTGTGCCAAATTCATCGCGAAGTGGTCAAAATTCAAGTTGAATGTTTCTGTTACGTCTCAGTGTTTTCTAAATTTTTTTTATCGATAAATTTTAATTTATTTGCGGATTCGATGTCCAATATGTAGGCTTTTCGGTGGAATATAATGTGCCTAGTTTGCTTTTAGTTCGCAAGTTTCTCTTATAGTCAATCTGAAACCTCAGTCGACGTCTTTTGTGTTGAAATACCTTCCAAGAATAAAATTTTTACCGAGATGTTTCAAGTCTGATGTATTCTTTTTGTTTAATTTTATGCCTGGGTGGGCAATAAAGAGTTCCGAGTAGAAACTTTTTTCTCCCTTTGTTGATGTCAACGACGGTAACTTGAAAAACTGCTACTTCTATATCGCAGGCACATATTTGAAGAATTTAGTACCCTAATAAGTACGTACTATAATTGGCTTATTCATTCGTATACCTGCACTTTTAGATAAAATAAAAATGAGGCCAATTGGAAGTGAAACAAAAATTGTTTTTAAACGATGATGCGGTAACGCACCACTGGCCGTAAATGACTTATGAACTGTTTGTAAAATTTCAGGAAAAATTTTTGACAATGTTTATTTAGGAATTTATAAAAAAAATCTTATCGGCTGGACCGTAGATTAACCGGTAACAGGGGGTAATTAATTTTGCAATTTTGTCCCCGTCATAAATCTGAACGGTACACACATGGAGTGGAAAACGAACATCGGAACCCCACTTCATCACGGTCAGCCAACGCGTTCTCTGCCGTCAACAAACGCAGCGTTTTCAGACAATTAGTACGGACGCTAGTCGACGCCGCAATTACGCTGCCGGCGCGACAATTCGAACGATATTGTTGCGGCCAATTTGAATAATATTCAATGGACGACGACGGCGACGATCCGACGCCCAATTGGGTTCCGATCGGAATTTGCGCACGGCAATTAGTCCCGATGAATATTCAGCGAACTCTGACCTCGGGCGCACATCAGAATTTCCCAAATGCGCGTCGACGCAAACGCTCTCCCCCTTTCTACTCGAATCTGAGTCTGTGATCTCGATGAGATACGCTATATAGATATATATTCAAGAGCTCTTCTCCTGTAAGGCGATTTAATGGTAGGCCGAGTATCGAAAAACCTCTAATTGAATGCTAAAGGGGGTAAATCCGAGTGAAGAGCCCCCTTGGCGAACAAAGCTTTCTATCTGTAACGAGAGAGATGGCAGGTTACTCCAGCGCCTACGGCACCCTTAACAGTTGACGTTTCGCAAGAAACTCCCCCAGCTACACTGTAGGCCTTGACGCGTCATGACGCCGCCGTTATCTTCGTTGAGATCTTTCTGCAACGACTACCACCTTTTGTTCGAGTTGAGTTTTGTTACACTTCGTCGCTTGTTTTGTTTTGTACATCCATACCGTTTTGGTGTTCGGATTGTGTGGTGGATTTTTATCCCACTACTTAATATTTCCAGAAAATACAATGAAATCACTTTAATTTATGCAAACGTTTAATTTTGATTAGATTTGATTGATGCATTGTAAACAAAGGTATTACTCAACTCAACAGCAAAAACGTTTTAACTTATCCAATTTTAACTGTAACAGATTACAACGTTTCTATACTAGGTTGTGTTAAAAAGAAATTTTTTTTTGAATTATGTTTCTGTCCTGCTGTCAACATTGAATAAATTGGATTGACGTGATGAAAGTCATGTTGGAGTAAACTGTTGGTGGAGGTTTATTTGTTTTCAGGTTTAATTATGGTCGCTAGAATGGCCGTGACGTTGCTATCGACGCCCATGGAATTAAAATTCAACATGCAAACCGTTGGGACACAATCGGGCGAAAATTGACACACGCGCGTGTCCGAGCACAAAACGCGCGTTCTCGCAACAGCTAATTAGGTTATTTGCCCTATTTTAATTCGATTAGGATTACGTGACTTCCCACGCGACGTTAAACTCGGACAAAATCCCGGAACGTGCCGCGGCTACTTCGAACGGGACGTCGTCGTCGTCGAACGTGGCGGTTCTATAATCTCCGACGGGATTGAATTTAAATCGAAAATGATTCCTAATTGCGTTTCCAGATAACGGAGTTACGTCGGCCGGATTTCCCCGCAATCTGCGCGGCCGGATATGAGCTTTGTACCCGTAAAAACGGCTGACGTCCACCCCTCCGGAAGTTGTCCGATTAGTTTCCGGTGCGCCGTTCGACGATTAAACTCGCAACCCGCCGATATAGCGAGAAGGCAATTACGACATTGGGAACAATAATTTTTAAACTGTTATTTAAGACATACAAATTGAAACTCTGTTGATTACGAGAAAAATTTTTAATTTGTGGGTATTAATCAATTTTGGGTGAGCACAAGTGGACATCATTCGAGTTGTATCCGAGTCCGGTGTCAATCAGCAATGAATAATGTAATTAGGCGGTTATCAATCATCGTGCCGTCGGGTTGCTTCGAATATAGATGGTGGGACAGACAACTCTGTATGCGACAGATGGCTTGTTCCCACCGTGCAACATGACACGGGCAAGCGAAGGACAAAAAAGGACGACATTAGGATGAAATATAACAAGAAACTCTAAAACACTTACGGCCGGTTGTACAATATACCGATAAATTTACCTGATAATTATCCGCCCGATAAACTTATCGGGAAGATAAACGTATTCGCTGTTGTACATGATTCGTGGAGGAGTTGCAATTTTTGCGAAAAGAGACATTGCATGTTCGTGTCTAGATCAAGATAATGCATTGTTTATTGAGCTGAATTGTGAGCTATCAGCTGCTTACTGCGAGATTTTTGATGCGGTCATTGTTTGTACAGATCACCAAACAAAAATTATGAAATTTTTAAAAGGGTAAAAGTGTTATTATTGCTGGTGATTTTAACTTGAAATGTTGTACGTCCGATTCAAGGGTGACCAATGTTGTGGATCTATTTGCAACATATGGTTTTATGCAGACAATTTTTGATGCTACTAGGTTAACTAATTGCTTAGATAATATATTTATTAATTTTTCAACGGATGAATACTCGGCTGCCGTTATCGGTAATAATTCTGATCACCTAGCTCAGCGCATTGGAATTCCTGTCCCCGAACGTTGTAATACTTAGTATGTCTCTAGAATGATTAGGCCCATAACGTTGCTTGGTGGTTTGACTTCCTTTAACATTATGTCTGGTCAAACATCCACAGCTAAATGCTAATGAAAAATTCAACCTATTATATAATGAATTGCTTTGAATGAAGCTGCTTTTAATTCTGCCTTTCCTAAAAAGCAAGTAAGGGG